AAAGTACTATGGACTACCAGAAGAATAAACAAATCTCTGTTGGAAGATGTACAGCCAGACTGCTCCTTCGAAGCCAGGATTTTGACATCTCTCATACTTCGCACATGTTATCAGGAGGGACCAGTCCTTGGAGATGGACATCGTGCTTGGTACAGTGCAGGGTTAAAGAAGAGGAAGACCCCCAATGAGATGATTGGCACAGTAGCAGCAGCAATGGGCTCAAGTGATGGGGGCACAGGATTGGGCAGTGTTTTCTTCTGTTGTGCATAAGATCGCTATGAGTCAGAACCTAACAACAACAGTGCCCACAAAGGACTGCGAGCACTGGGACAGAGGTGTGGGAGAACAAATGTGAGTGAACAGGCATTGAAACTGCACAGTAGGCCAGTCTCAATTCTAGATATTCTACAAGTGGCATCTCACTTACTTTGACAACCATCCTAGAGGTATGTAATGTTCTTCCCATTTTTTTCAGACAAAGAAATCGAGGTTTGGAGAAGTCAGGTAAGTTCCCCAAGTTCATCCAGATGTCAAATATTAGAGCCAGGCTTTGAACCAGTAATTTCTGTTACATTACACTACCTCTGAAGCCTTAAGCCGAATAAACTAGATGTGTAAATGTCCGTTTAACTCCAGTTAGCTCTACTAAGATTTTTCAGATACTTCAAGGAAGAACCTTAAACTGCCTAGCAGATACCTACAGTCCCATGTAAAGAAATTAGTCACTCAAGTAATTCAGAATAGCCACATGTATTCTTAACTTAGCTCCAAAGACAAATGCAGTTGAATTATTTGGACAAAGGTGTTATCTCATTTCTGGAATGAATGAGAGGGAGGAGATTACATGTGTTCTTCCTTTTATTCTGCCTCCTTTTATTGCACTTCACATATATAGTGTTTTTCACAAGTTGAAGGTTTGTGGCTACTTTGTGTTAAGCCTGTTTCCAACAGCATGTACTCCTTTCGTGTCTCTGTGTTCTTGGTCATTCTCATAGTATATCAAACTTTGGCATAATGCTACATGTATACAATAAAATAAAATAAAAAATACATGTGATAAAAAAAACCCGCTTATTATTTTCTAGATGCTTTATTATTTTGCTTTTCACATATAGATCTAGAACCTACTTGAAATCAGTGTTCGTGTGAGCTATGAGAAAGGATTAAGTTTCTTCTTTCTACGTCCATAAAGATATCCAATTATCCCAGCACCATGTATTAAAAAGACTTCTTTCCCCACTGGTCCTCCTGTACCACGTTTGTAATAAATCAAGCACCCATATGTAGGTGGGTCTGTGCTGAGGCATTTTCTGCTGCACTGGCTAATTTTCTGGTCCTTATACTGAAGGAGTCATGGTTAAGTGCTTAGCTGCTGACACCTAGTAGTTGCGCAAGAGAAAAACCTTTTGTGTGTGTAACAATTGGTAGTGATTGTGTGCTATCAAGTCAGTTCTGACGCTGTAGAGGCTTTTCAAGGCTGTAAATCTTTATTGGAGCAGAAAAACCTCATCTTTATCCTGCTTTTCCCCTGGATGCTCTTAATGACATCCCACAACACCTGGTCTTTGATTAGTGTCTAATGCATCAAATCTGTTCGTGAGATGATCTCAAAATTCAGGTAGGACCTACTCAAAGTTCTATTTTGGCACTTGGAGACTTGTTTTCATTTTCTTTTGCTGTAGTTTGAACTTGCTTATGAGCAAGTCTGCCCCTGGCCTTATTTTGGTGGCTAATACTGAGCTTGTCCATCATCTTTTCCCACAGATGTAGTCAATTTGATCCCTGTGTATTCCATCTGGTGAGGTCCACAAGTATACTCTCTCTGTTGTTGAAAAAGGGGATTTGTAATGAATAAGTAATTGGTCCTGCAAAATTCTATCATGTGACCTCCAGCACCATTTTTACCACCAATACTATATTTTCCAACTACTGATCCTTCTTCTGTCTCTTTCACATTTCAACCACCAGTAAATGATTGCATGATTGATCAATTTCAGACTCAAACAGTTGGTAGCATTCTTCAACTTCATCCTCATTGGCTTTAGTAATTAGTGTGAACATTTGAATAGGAGTATTTATTACCCAGCATTCTTCAACTTAATCCTCATTGGCTTTAGTAATTAGTGTGAACATATGAATAGGGGTATTTATTACCCAGTCTTCATTCAAGGTCTATGGATACTATCCTGTCACAACAGCATTGTACTCAAGATAGATCTTGAAACACTCTTTTGGAGAATGAAACGTATTTCATTAAATTTTTTACTTTCACTTTTCCTGGATTCATGCTATTACTGGATGTTTGCAGCAGTTCCTTCTCATTTTGAGTTGTGCCCCATCAACAAATAAAGGTTCCAAAAGCTTTACTCCATATTCCCATCATTAAGGTCAACTATACTTTGAGGAGCAACTCTTCCGTACTTCTGTTTCCTGTTTTCATTCCTCCTCTTTCCTAGCCCTTCTGAACTTGGTCCTTGGGTAATGATTGGTTATTCTAAGGTGTTTTTACTTCCCTAATGTTATTTCCCTTAGAGACCTATTAACTAGCTAAAAATTGAGCCACTGTGTTGAGTTCATTTCCAGACCTGTAGGGTGACTGAACAGTCTCAGGGCTCCTACCAGTCTCCATTCCAACCAGTTAGGTGCCATAGAGTTGATTCTGACTCATGACGACTGTGTACAGGACTTCTGAGGTGCAGCTGGTGAGTCTGAATAAACTTAAGCTCTTCTGAGTATAGCATAAAAAGAATTCCTGAGACAATGCCTCTGTCTGTAACCTAGTACTTGGTATAGTGCCTGGAACATACAACAACACAAGCCTGCTGCCACTGAGTTGATTCTGACTCCTAGTGATCCCACAGGATACAGTAAAACTGCCCCATAGGGCTTCCAAGGCTGAAGTATTTTCAGAAACAGTCTGCCACACCTTTCTCCCCCAGAGCAGGTGGTAGGTTCAAATCACCAACCTTTAGATTTGTTGCTGAGCGCTTAACCACTGTGCCACTGGGTTCCTCTGTATGGAACATACTTGTTAAGTGTCATCCAGTCGGTTTCAATTCAATTCACTGAAGACCAACTAGTGAGTTTGAACCGCTGACCTTGATGTTGCGTTCTTATCCTACGGTGCCACACCAGGAACACAGTTAGAGAACTGAATTAAGACAGTGAACAAATGACTCAGCCTTTAATTCCTAGGGAACCACACTACACAATGCCTCTTTATGACTAGATTAGAAAGAAAGAAAAGTCTCAATACTGAACACCACCACCAACAACAACAAAATACTCATACAATTTTCTTAGAAAAATAAGTTTCAATTTATATACTTAGCACAGCTCTATATGTAAAATTTATTTATTTTAAAACCCTAAGCAAAAGTCTTGTCATTTATTTCTTTCAAAAGTCAATTCCTTTCAGGACATGCTTCCTGGAATTGCCTATAATTTCTTCATCTGATCTCAGGGTGTAGGATGGTGCTTTATGCCATCAGGATAAAAATCCAGGAGGTAGAAATCTTGTTGCAGAGGATAACTGTTTTCATCTAACACAAAAAGGCTCTGAATTTTCAGAAGGCAAGGTGTCCCACTGGGTGCCAACAAGGCATGGAGCAAGTCCGCTGCCACCATCCTGTAGGTGATGCCTGAGGAGGGTACTGTGGAAGATGGAAACACACCGTTGTTAAGAGCATTCCCAGCTTAATGGAAATACAAACATTCTTTCATTGTTTTTTAGCTTTCCAAGTTCCAAACCCATCTTAATATTCTCTTCCTAGACCTTTTCTTTCTAGGCATAAGTTGAACAAGGAACTCTATAATAATGTCAAACAATTTCCGAACATGAAAAGAATGCACTTGGCAGGTTCACAGCATTTCCTAATATGGCATAGTTATGACTAGCTTCTTAAACAATATAATAAAGAACTAAAATGGTATACCTCAGCTAGGACTGAAACAGAAAGGAATTTTATCAGAAAAGTACTTTTATACTTATCCAATCTATAGTACTCATAAAGGATTATATTTTCATATGTTTATTAGCATAGTGGTTATGAATCGGGCTGCAAACCTCAAGGTCAGCAGTTTGAAACTACCAGCTGTTCCGTGGGAGAAAGATTAGGCTTTCTGCTCCCGTAAAGATTTCTAGCCTCGGAAACCCTGAACACGGTTGCTATGAGTTGGTTCCGACTCCACGGCACATAACCACCACCACCACCACCATCATTTATATGACAGAATCTGTGAGTGAAAATCAAATCTCAGTACAGTAAATATACTGAAATTATAGGTAAATGTGCCAGTTTATTTTGCATTTGTCCTACTGTCTTATTTTTTTAGGACATCTAATTAAGTTATGTATCAGGTAGTTAAATACTAGACTGAAAAGCACTATGGATTACACTTGAACAGTTCTGTTCCCAGGCTGCACTGGGGTTTATAGGCTGCCACAGGGCCAATGGCACACTTTCGGAGATGTAAGAATTCTCTGTGGTAATTGAACATTCTAGCACTGAGAGATGATCTATCTGGACGGTCAGTTTATCACTAGTGACATAAGTGAGCTCAGTGCCCATGTTTTCACTTGTGCTTACAATCTAATTAATATTAGAAGTATAAACTGGCTGTCTTGTGCACTGCTGAGGCATGGATGTATGTATACTTGATATGAGAATGGTGCTTCTCTGAGATTTGAGCACTCATTTACATTGTGCAAAAAATGAAGAAGAAAAGAAAAAGAATCGTCCAAAGAATGAAAATGAGATGAAGAAAAGAGGTTTCCAATTAGGATGCAAAAAGCTGGACAATCACACTCATCCAAACAAGAAAAAGCTGAGTGCATTTAGAAAATCAAAAACAATTTTTAACCTATCAGAGATGAAGTAGTGCCACATTCAAGGAGCCTGAACCATAAGGAGAGACAGGTGCCTCTAAAGAGAGACAGACCAGAACACGGGCTCCACTGTGGTGGTGGGGAGACAGGGCCACCACTCAAGCATGAAAGAAGGCTTTATTTTAACACATTTTTAAATGATACGTCATTGGTTTTTCAGTGAAAATGTATGCAGAAGTTCAGGTTCCCAGTCAACCATTTTCACATAAGTTGTTCAGTGACACGGGTTACATTCTCCACAAAATGGGACCATGCTCATTGTTTCTGTTGTGGCTGTCCCATTTCCACCAATTGAGATCCTCTGACCCCTTATATTCTCATCTTTGTTTCCAAGTTAACTGTTGACTATTTGGCCTCATATAAATGATTTTTTAAAGTAGCACAGTACTTGTAGCATGAGTAAATATTCTTTACTTTGTGAGAAAATCTGCTATTTAGCTAAAAGGTGGCAACCTCAGGGGCTAGTTTTGGTTCAAGTTTTAAAGAGTATCTCAGGGAAATCATCTTAAGGAATCCTCCAGTTTTAACCAGTCCAGTAGGTCTGGTTTGTTGTGGTGGTTTAAGGTGTTTGAGGTTCTGGTCCATATTTCTCTCCCATTTTATCATGGTCCATCTATTGTGGCCAGTAGTGGTAGCTGGGCATCAACTAGACCTAGTCTCAGGGTAGACGAAGCTGTGGTTCGCGTACACTATCGTGGCACTTAACAACAGTATTGTAGTCTATGTTGTTCTTTAAGCCTTTGGGTTCCTTGTTATTCTTTGGCTCTAAGTGGGTAGAGATCAACAGTTCTTTTTTAGATGGCAGTTTGCATGCTTTTAAGACCCCAGGCACTATTCATGTAACTAGGATGTAGAATCGAAACTTTATGAACTACATTTACACCAATGGACCTAATCTTGGGTTTTAATCTTTCAAACTCAAATACCAATACTGTGAGGTGTTTGGTAATAGTCCCCCATATGTGTTTTATTACATACATGAATAACTGAAGAATTCTACCAACTTCTGCAGTCTGAAATTGATGAAACATGCAATCAGATACATTAATAATTACTGGTGGATGGGATGCAATTGGAAACATAGAGGAAAAATCAGTAGTTGGAAAATGCAGCCAGAGTGACAGAAGTGATGATGACTGTATGACAGAATTTTGCAAAACTAATGATGTATTCATTGCAAATACCTTTTGCAACAACATAGACTATATATGTGGACCTCCCCATATGCAATACATAAACATCTGTAGAAAGCTGACGGAGCTCAGCATTATCAACCAAAACAAAGCTATGACTGCAGAACAGACCATCAATTGCTCAGATGCAAGTTCAGGAGGAAACTGAAAAAAATTAAACAAGTCCACAAGAGCCAAAACACAGCCTTGAGTATATCCACCCTGAATTTAGAGACAATCTCAAGAATAGAACTGGCACACTGTACACTAATGACTGAAGACCAGACAGACTGTGGGATAACAACAAGAACATTAGGCATGAATACAGCAATAGATCATTTTATATAAAGAAAAGACCAATATGAGAATGTCAGAAGAGAATTGAAACTTGCTCTTGAATGCACAGAAGCTAAAGCAACTAGAAGAAATGATGAAGTGTAAGAGCTGAAATAAAATGTAAAAGGAATGCTCAAGAAAAGTTATAATCAAATATGCAAAGAACTGGAATTAGAAAATCAAAAGGAAAAAACAAGCTCAGTATTTCTCAAGCTGAAAGAACTGAAGAAAAAGGTTAAGCCTTGGGTTGAAAAATTGAAGGATTCTATGGTTAAAAAAAAACAACAACAATGCAAGAAGCATAAAAAAAAAAAAACAAAAAAAAAGATGGATAGAATACGCAGTCACTGTAACAAAAAGAATTGGCAATGATCAACCATTTCAAGAGCATATGATCAAGAACCAACAGTAAAGAAGAAAGAAGTCCAAGCTGCATTGAAGGCATTGGCGAACACAAAACCTCAGGAATTGATGGAATACCAACCGAGATGTTTCAACAAACTGATGCAGCTGGAGGTGCTCACTTATCTGTGCCAAGAAATTTGAAAGAAAACTACCCAATCGACTGAAAGAGATTCATATTTTCATCAGTTCCATTGAAATGTGACCTACAGAAATTATCCAACAGTATCATTAATTTCACATGCAAGTAAAATTTTGATGACGATAATTCAAAAACAGTTGCAGCAATACATCGACAAAGAGCTGCCAGAAATTCAGGCCAGATTCAGAAGAGGATGTGGAACAAGGGATATCATTGCTGATGTCACATGGATCTTGGCTAAAAACAAAACAAAACAGGAAATACCAGAGGTGTTTACTTGTGTTTTATTTGCTACATGCTACACAAAGGCATTTGACTATGTGGATAATAACAAACTATGGATAACATTGTGAAGAATGAGAATTCCAGAACACTTCAATGTGCTCATGTGGAACCTGTACAGAGACTAAGAGAATGCCTTTTGAACACGTGTCACCAGGACTGAAGGAGGCTCAACAAACAAGTTGCAATATACAGATGACACAACTTAGATTACTGAAAGGGAAGAGGGACTGAAGCACTTACTGTTAATGATCAAAGACAACAGTGTTCAGTATGAAATACAAAAATCCTCACAATTGGACCAATAAACAACATCATGATTAACAAAGAAATGATTGAAGATGTCAAGGATTTCATTTCACTTGGATCCATAATCAGTGTTCATGGAAGGTTCAGTTAAGAAATCAAGTGATATACTGGGCAAATCTGCTGCAAAGGACCTCTTTAAGGTGTTCAAGAGCAAAGATGTCACTTTGAAGACTAAGGTATACTGGACCCAAGCCATAGTATTTTAAGCACTTCATATGCATGTGAAAATGGAAGAAAGATAGTTTCTGCTCCTGCAAAGATTTACAGCCTATATAGGGTCACTGTGAGTTGGTACCGATTTGATGGCACTTAACAACAAAGATGTGATTAAGAATTACGGTGGGATTAAGGATGCCCCCACTTTACTACAGGATGTGACTGAAATCACCACTGTTAGTTTCCTTGGTGGCATGGTTTGTGTTCATTATATAAGAATGATCTGGCAACGTTTACTCTCTTGTTCCGGATATCTGTCTGTCTTCCAGTCTGTGGGATGTGTGGCCTGTCAACTGAGCACAACTGATTTGCCAGCTTCCACAGCTGTGTGCATCAACAGCCTGGTGACTTGGGTTCCTCAACTCCTAAGACCATGTGGGTGAAGGGAATCCGCCAGACTGGCATCTGAACTATGGACTTGGGACTTGCCAACCATCACAACTACGTGAGCCATTTCCTTGACAGTTGTGAGTTCTGTGAAACATGACAGCTAACTGGGGCAAGAGGGAATATACTGAGGGAAGGGGTGGTGGTTGGTATCAGAGATTATGGACCGGTATCGTATCTTAGAACAGCTGAACATCTGGGCTATCTTTAACCTCCTCCTCATAGGTACCAGCCTTGTGCTGATCCTTCTAAAATACGTTATTCTTGCAATTACCTATAACTTTGTCGAGCCAGTCAGGAGAAATGTTGAGAAGAATCTTCTCTATCACCTCTGATTGCACTTGGATGAAAATATTATGTGGTCCATCAACTACAGTCATTAAAGCTGGCCTTAAAAAAGAATAAACAACACATGACCTTCAAATAAGATTTCAAATTAAAGAAATGCTTACATGTACTATATTTGTAAAAAACATTGGATTTATAAAAATAATACTGAAAGTATAGTGATTAGGTTCCTGTAAGACAATTTCTATACCAATTGTTCAATGACATCAGTTACATTTTCATCATGTGTCAACATTCTGTTGTGTTCTGGTTGCTTCTTTTCCAGTACTCTAACTTCCCTGCCCCAGTATCTTCTCATCTTTACTTAAGAATAAATGTTGACACTTTGATCTACTATAGATGGCTTTTTAGTAGAACACTGCGCTGTTGGATTGTATCCTTTATTTCATGAAAAATGATCTCAGGGGATAGTTTCAGTTCAAGACTATCTCAGGTTGATATATCTCAGGGAGTCCTCTGGTCCCTACTGGTCCAGCAAGTCTGGCCTTTTGTAAGAGTCTGAGTTTTGGTCTGTATTTCCCTCCCATTCTATTTGGGACCATCTGGGTCGCGATGGGTCGGAACTGACTCGACGGCACTTCACAACAATAATTATGACCCTGGAGTCCTGGTGTGGTGCTATAGGTTAATGCACCAGACTGCAAAGCTGTTTGAACTGCAAGGTCAGCGGTTCAAGCTCACCAGCTGCTCCTCGGAAACCCTATACAGGGTCACTATGGGTCGGAATTGACTCTATGGCACTTCACATCAACAATTATGACCCTGGTCAGAATAGTCAGTAATGGTAGCCAGGCACCATCTAGTTCTCCTAGTATGAATTCCACTTATCATGGTGTAGAATTTATTTGTTAAATGGTTGGATTCTGTTGCCTACATTTTTTTTTTAAATGTTTTATTGTGAATTATGTGATAGTTATAACATGGGAGAACATTAGCTTTACATCCATCCGATCGTATATCGTTTCATTGCCATTGTTACAATGCCCACCATGCATCATCAACCAACCAAAGGGTATATACCCTGCAAGCCTGCTCCCCGGTCATCAGCACACAGCCCTTCTCCCTCTCTGGGTCTAGAGTCCCCAGCCGCTCCATCTCTCCACATCATTGTCTCTGCCACCATCTCTGGCGTCATTGCTTCT